CGCGAAGGTGTGTGTGTGTGTGTGTTTCCTGCGCCTCCTCCTGATTAGTTTGGAATCAAGGTTTTTGGACAACTCCCCTAGATGAACTACCAGTGGTCCACCAACCCGGTTATATCCCCGGATATCGGCTTTTCGTCCTCTCAATTTGGTGGAAAAAACACCAAAAGAAGGCAGTTGAAATTATTTGAGACGCTTGGTTTTATAGGAGTATTTCGTGAGGTACGAAGGAAGGGTGGTCAGCCACAACCCAAGATACTAACCCCCGAACATACTGAGGTTTTTGGAGGTAATCCAGTGAGATCTAAGCGCACTACCATTTGTCATTACTGTTGTTTAGCTAAACAATGACCATTGTGAGTATTCAAACAGCACAGCTCATCATCTGCCTCCCAATTGCTCCCAATTAAGATGGCGCCTTATCAGACAGTGCTGTCAGCACGACTGGAAGAGTCGTCCATCATCGATGGATCAGGTTCTGGACGTTTTGAAAGCCTATCCGGAATGTATTCGACCGTTCCTCACGGACGATCCACCGAAACCGATCACAATGATGGATTCGTTACAAGTAAGTTTCATGAGTATCCGGGTGGGGTGGGAGACCCCGCGTTGATCAGCCCAGAGAAATTGTTTGTGACTTTTTACATTTGTGGGAGTAAACGGTGTATTTATCGGTCGATAAAAACATTTTAACAATTGCAAAGCAGAAAAACAACGTAATTTGTGAATACTTTTTCTAAGTTCTCAATACACAAATTGCTGAAGCACAACCCTGACCAAAGGACGCATTGACGAATGCCTGGCGTAGCACGAACTGCCGATCCGAAAAGCCCTCGTGAGACGTTACGCACCTCACATGAATTGTAGTACAACTTCTCATGAAGCCGTGTTCAACGTGCCTCAGTACTTAATGTTCCAAGTACTTTAGTCTCAACAAGGCGTACTTTTCTTTCCGCAATCTACAGTTTGGAATGTGACAATTCGCCGATTGAACAGTGGTATGGGTCAATTGATTAATCATTCTCCAAAGTCGAAACTGTTTGCGATCCCGCCACTGGCGGTCATCGTATCTCGTGCAGTCCGGATCGACCGAGTCGACGTAGTCGTTTATTGGGCACACGGGAAAATCGAATCAACCGAAACGTTCACTTGCGATAATACGGCCCTATCCCCCAAAAAACAGACAGTGTGGTCAGTCAATAATTGAATAACTGATAAAATGAGTGAGAACTGAGAAGCGAACACATTTCTTAGCATTCAAACAAACTGTGGCTTTCGTAAAATGAATTATACATCTTCATTCTAACCGGTATTGTGTATTTCACACATGTCTAAGGCCAAAATGTTGGGCAACCAAAGTATAATACAATAATCTTTATAAAAACACAAAAATTCCCATGATTTGTTTATGGCCGTGATACTGCTAGGTCGCCCAGGGCAAAACAGGGGGATTTGTCTGGGGAATTCACAACCGGAACTTTTGGCTAGCCATAGTTTGACCCACGAGA